ATATTTTGACAGATCCCAGATATGCAAATGTACCTAGGATAATAAGCAAAAAGTGCAGTGAAAAGATAAATCAATAATCATAAAAGAAACAGACAACAAAAATAGGAAAATCAAAGAAGCAGCCCTGTTATTGCTAAACAAAGAAACGTGTGTAGCAAACACATCAATGGAATGTAGCAGGCTTTAGTTACCAATACTCTAAGAAATCCACAATAAGAATATACCAATATTAACATATTAATAGTAGCTCAGAGACACATCATCTATAATCATCTACATAAGCACAGAAAGATCAGAATTTTATAATCCGAGGGTACAACAACATATCTCTGAATTTTACTCAAAATATGGGTAATGCCTGCAAGATCGAGGCCAAGTAGGTTAACTGTCAAATTTATATTACCACTCATTGCCAATTTGTAAGTCTAGTTAAGTTAAGGTAGGGTGGCAGTGAATAAAATTAAGATAGCTATGATGGTAACCAATGTTCTGAAAGGACATGGTACATTAAGAAGAAGCTTAAGTCTAATAATTTTTATTTAAATTTTTTTTGTAAACTACTTCCCGATTGGAATTCGAAACATAAAAAAAATAAACTGTACTTAATTCTTATTACAATCAATTGTCGTTAATCTCATGTAAACTACTATTTAACTATAATCTTTTTGCTATAAATGTCTAGTTCCGTATTGTATTAGTAGTTGATGTTAGGTCAGTGACTAATTGTTGCCTAGTGAGACCACTGTAATAGGTTACAATGAAATTAATCGAAAGATCTAAAAAAAATTATTTTAATTAAAGTTATAGTAATTTCACTACACATCATCATCATCCAGCCTACATTTATTACGTCCACTGCTGGACATATGCCTCCCTTAAACTCCTCCATTCTATACGATTTTGTGCTCTTTGTTGCCAATTTTTGGTGATACGCCTGATGTCGTCAGCCCAACGTGTAGGTGGTCTTCCTCTACTACGTTTGTCTGTTCTTGGCCTACAATGTGTAATTTTGCTTGTCTATCGTGAGTCATGCATTCTGGCTACATGGCCTGTCCAGTTCCATTTTAGTTCCGCTATGCGTTCCACAACATCAGCAATACTCGTCCTTCTTCGCAGATCTTCGTATGTGATTCGGTCCCGCACTCTCAATTTCGAAGCCGTAGTCTTGGTTAGTCATAGTTTCCGCTCCATAGGTCATGACCGGTAATACGCATTAGTCAAATACTTTTCTTTTGAGGCTAATTGGTATGTTGGCCCTAAGTGTGTCTCGCAGTTTTCCAACGGCTGCCCACGCCTAAGTAATTCGTTTGTGGATTTGGCATGTTTGGTTATCCCTGTTGATTCTTATTTCATGACCCTCATACGTATATTTCTCTACCAGTTCTACCATTTTGTCTTGAATAGTTAAATGGTTATTGCGGACCATATTTGTCATAAACTTAGTTTAGGTCAAGTTCATTCTGAGGCCCATGTATAAACATGAAAAGTCCAATTCATTTAACTTATCTGTGGCTTTTCCTAAGTTATCTGTGATAAGGACAATGTTATCTTTGAAACGGAGATGTTTAAGCTTTTCGCCGTCTATGGTTACTCCTCTGTAGTCTCAATTGGCCATCTTAAGCATACTCCAATGCCGTTGACAATGTATCTCCTTGTCTTATCCCACGTTTTAATTTTATTGGTCGGGTTTTATCGTATATATTAACAGTCATAGTGGTATTTTTGTAAATATTGTAAATAAGTTCACTATACCTATGTTCAATCCTGTTGTCATTCATTGTTTCTATAAGACTGTCTATTTCGATCGTGTCGAACGCTTTATGAAAATCTATGAAAGTGAGGACAAGAGGTTTGTTGTATTCTATAGATTTTCCAATGAGTCTTTTTACTGTATGGAGGTGATCATTGCTACCATAATTTGATCGGAATCCTGCCTGCTGTCTCGGTTAGTAGAAATCTAATTTTTTCTCCAATCTTGATATCACTAACCTAGAGAAGAGCTTGTATATGTGGTTCAACAGTCTAATAGGTGTATAATTCTCCAGGTCTGTTCTATCTCATTTTATATGCAAAAGGATAGTTATAGCATTGTTCCATTCTTTGGGCACCTCTTGTTGCTGCAAACATAGATTAAACAGTTTCCTTAATCTATTTAATACCATATCTCCTCTATTTACGATAGCTTCTATTACAATTCCATCCTCTCCTGGGACTTTGTTATTTTTCATTTTTCTGAACGCTATAGATAAGCATATAAAAAAACAAACAAAACAATGTAAAATTGATTGGAAAAACTAGAAAAATTTTTAAACATAAATATAAAATAGTAAAACTTTATTAATCAATACAAAGAATTGATTTTAAAGATGCTGGTTGCTCAACTTAACGACCATACTATCAAATTCACAGAGTCCTATCGGTATTTAACAATACCGAACAAAAAAAATCCAAAAATCTCTCCTTTTTCAGAAAATATCTTCTTCTTCCTTCTAGTATGTAGGCTTTAAAGCCCGTTTCTTCTTCAATATTAACCTCCTAAATTGTCGCACCATGTTTTTCTTGGTCTGCCAATACTTCTTCGTCCATTTGGTGACTTATCTCGTGCTATTCGTACTATTCTATCCTCTGCCATTCTACTGATATTTTCGTTCCACTCCTGTTTTCGTTTTGTCACCCATCCAGTTATGTCTTCTATCTTCTTATGTTTTCGCTTCTCTCCCTATCCATCAGACTTCTCCCTGATATTCGTCAGAGTATTTTCATCTCTATTGTGCCTAGCAGTCGTCTCGTTTTAGATGTGTCAGGTCTTGTCTCCACAATGTATGTTAATATAGGTCTAATTGCTGCTTTATAGATTCTTGTTTTTGTGTCTTGTCTTAGGTATTTGTTCTTCCAGATTGTGTCATTAAGAGATTCCGCTGCTTAACTTACTTTTAAACTTTGTTGTCGTACTTCTTCAACATCTCCGTAACTAGTTATATCTATTCCAGATATCTAAACCTTGCTTTCTACTTTATTATTTTCCCATCAATTTCGATTTTACACCTTAGTGGGTATTTAGATATACATTTGTTTTTTTCTGCTGATATTATCATATTGTATTTCTTAGCTGTTGTGTTGAAGATATGTGTTAATCTTTGGAGCTCGTCTTCTGTCTCGGTGATTAATGCGGCGTCGTCTGCATAACATAACATTTGGATTTCTTTGTTCCCCATTCTGTAGCCATGACCTTTACGTACTGCTTGTATTATTTCGTCCATTATTATATTAAAGAGAAGTGGGCTCAACGAGTCACCCTATCTGACTCCGCTTTGTACTGGTATACACTGTGTTAGTTTTCCATTTATATTTGTCTGTATTCGATTATGGAGGTAGATGTTTTCGATGGTTTGTATAATATTGATTGGTATATTTCTTTTGTACAGTAGGTGTAAGACGTCTTCGACTTGGATGCGATCGAAAGCCTTTGTCAGAAAATATCCAATGCCCAAATTATATTATTCAGAATATTTACTTACTGGAGTTACTGTTCCATGTTTAGCAAATCTTTTATCCCTTGGCCATGTTTTCAATTCCAAGATCTTTTGCTAAATCTGCACTGTACCTGGTACATTATTTTGACAGTAATAATTAAAAGCTGAAATAAATTTATATAGGAATATAAAAAATGCAACACGTAGGACAAATATATTTTTAAATATTTATTAATGGAAGTATACATTATAATATTCTGATTATTTGGTGACGTTCTAAACAAATCATTTTCGTCAAAAAATTAATAATGAGTGGCTCCTCTTTGATTTTCTATACACTCCGTTGCTCTATGGAGCATTGATCAAATTAAGTGTTCTATATCATATTGCAGAATACTCATCCAGATTCATCTTAAGACATGCCACGGTATTATAAGTTTGCTGGAGGATGTGGTAATCGATTTAGGTTTCGACCTACCGTATCCTTCACATGTTCGATGGGTGACAAATCATCTGATCTTACCATAATGCTGGATTGTGTTGCTGTATGACGTTAAACAGCCAAGTCTATATTTCGTATATATCACCTCGAAAACGTCTTACCCTTATGCGTCCATCAGAGTCGCCCAAACAAAATCTAGATTCATCATTGAAGCAGAGAAAATTCCATTGGCCATTCCAGTTTTGCCAAGATCATCTCTTACTTATGTACATTGCCTTGTCTATTTCTGAGATCAAGAAGTCTAAGATGGCTCAAATCAAGACCTCTCCGATAAGTCGCATTATTGGACCACTTCCTCCAAACTCTTTACACCGTTGATGGATTAGCTTAAACCCTTCGTGAATTTCAAAAATTTCAAACACGTAAATTTTGTAGATCAAAAACAATCCAAATCCAAAATGACTAAAAATTACAAATAAACTAAATTTAAATGAACAAAAATGGAAATTGATTAAGCCCATACCAAAGATATTGTCAGTGTATTAAACTGTCTGGTGTCCTTGGAGCTTATTGGCATCTTTCATTATGTTGTTTCTTTAGACGATTCCTTCTCAGGTCTAATATGATGAATACACATTTAATTGCTTAATATAATGCAAACTATTGCTGTAAGTAAACGTGTTCTTCCTATCAATACTGCCAACTTACCCACTTACGTGTTTGTATATTTTTGTTGTAATTTTACTTTCAAATCTGATAAGTTTTATTTGAAATGGCAGTGAACAATTTGAACCAAATTTAAAAATCCGAGGGTACCTTACCATATCGAGGACTAAAAACCAAACAGTAAATAGCCTAACTTCTTTAAAATTGTATAATGTTTTCACCATAGAAAATCCTGTCAAATAATAGCTACCATCAGTGTGCCAGGATTTAGATTCTAAGATTTCTTTCGTAAATACGTACATGTACTCAGTGTTATTTGTTACATTTATGTCTTATTTGCTTTATTTATTCTATTAACTGTTGTTAATATTTTCAGGATGTGGCACGAAGCAAGGCGACAGGAACGTAAAATTCGCGGAATGTTAGTGGACTACAGAAGAAGAGCTGAACGCAGACGCGACTTTTACGAAAGGATAAAAGCAGATCCCACACAATTTTTACAAATACATGGCAGACAATGTAAGATTCATTTGGACCAGAATACAGCAACGGCAGCTGATAATGCTGCAATGATGCCGTGGCAGGGTCAAAGTGACAATCTTATAGATAGATTTGATGTCAGGGCTCACTTGGATTATATACCAAATGTAGAAAAATTTGTTGAAGAAACACTCACTCAAGAAGAAAGAAACCTTAATTATGAAAGGTATAGAATAATTGCTCAAAATTCATTTTTAGCTATACCAGAAGAAAAATTTTTAAAGCAGTTACACTTAGAAGAACAATTTGGGTACACAGAAATAAAAAGTAAAAAAGATGTTAAATCTGGAGCTACCATTGGGTATAATTATGAGGATTCGACTGGCATGCCGGTTGAAGGAATAGAAGAATCAGAGGAAGAAAATTCGGATAATGACTTAGATGTTGATTTGGCGATAAACGTTTCCAAAATGGATCCAGTACAAGCTAACGATTTGAATAAACATGGTCGTAGTTATGGAATGAGCTCAAATGATTTTTATTCATTCTTAATTAATGACTTGGAAGAAGCCGAAGCTGATAAGTTGGCAAGGGAAGAAGAACAAGAAAAAGCTTTGTTTTCGGGTCGCAAATCACGAAGAGAAAGAAGGTACCATAGAGAAAAAAGACTAGCCAATAGAACAATAAGTCCTCCCAGTTACGCAGCTAAGGTTTCTCCAACTCCTAATATTTTCGAAAATAGATCCAAATCCCGTTCTAAATCACCTTCCCCAGAAAACACTGGAAAAATTACCTACATTACAAGCTTTGGTGAAGAGGAGGAGACTCCATCAAGTAGTAAAGCTACATTTTCGAATAAAACAAAATCAAAAGATAAAGCTGAAGTTAACTCAGAAAAATCATCGTTGAGGAAACAATTTTCACGGTCCAGAAGTAAAGACCGGTATGGCCACAGATCAAAGAATAATTCAAGAAGGAAAAGTAGGTCAAGATCCACATCCAGATCACGATCAAAATTAGTGAGTGGGAGTAGGACTTACAATAATAGAAGAAGCTCTTCAAGAAGTTTAAGCGTTTCAAGGCTAAGAAGTGCAAGTGTTTCTAAAGGCCAATCTAACATCAAAAAACGTCGATCATCCTCTTCGTCATCCTCCTCGTCCACCTCATCATCATCTTCAAGTTCTAGTTCCAGTAGTTCTGATTCTGATAAAGGTAATTTAATTAAAAATCCCTTAGAAACTGACAAGCAGAGCCCAATCCATCCCGTAGAAGTTCCTCCAAAGGTTATACCTAGATACTATGGTAGAAAGCGGTCTGACGAGAGTTCGTCTGATGATCTTAATAGTGATACTGAAGATAAAACTATAGCAGAGGATGTTAGTGTTGAGTCACAAAATAAATCAGCAAATTCCCGCACGAATTCAAATCCAAATACAGTATTGACTATCGCAGAGCGTTTTAAACGAAAAAGGCAAGCTTTACTAAATAAACAGTTTAAAGCAGATAAAATAGCAGAACAAATTAAAACTGAGAGAGAACGACTAGAACAGCAAACGAGAGAGGATGAACTGAGAGAGATGTCTATCAAACTGAGAAAGCGTCAAAGGGAAAAGCGTCATGCAAATGATAGTGGAAGGTCTTCAAGTTCTGATGAAAGTAGCGGAAGTAATCATTCTCCATTTACTAAAGAGAAATCAGTAAGCCCCATTCGTGAGAAGGAAAAAAAGAGCGAGGCTAGTACTAGTAATTTACGAAATCAAGAGTCTAAACAGGATTATAGAAGAGATTATCGAAGAGATAGAAGATCTAGGTCCAGCAGTCGTAATAGAACTACTAGTAGAGATTGGAAGCGAAATAGGACAGATGCAGATATCAGGAATAAAAGAGACGAAAGGGATAAAGGTAAGAGAGATGATAGGGATAGGAGAGATAGGGAAGACAGAGACAGAAGAAGCAGAGACAGGGATAAAAGAGATAGAAGAAGAGATGAAGAAGAAGATAGAAGAAGAGATGAATATAGAAGGGGTAGATAGGTTATTCTCAAAAAATAGATCAAATATTTTAAACCGTTTCTTGATGTAAATCTTCTTTGAATGGATCCTTTCAGTCATATGATTATGTATCCCGAATAAGCCTTTCTTTCCAGATGTTGTATCACCTGAAAGCTTTCACGTTTGTCTGTTTGTAAATCTTTCCTGTTACGTGCTTGTGTTCACATTTTGTTCCAGGTCTTCCCAGTTTTCTTCTTCGTCTATGACCTCATTTCTGATTTTTCAGTATTCTCCTTGAGTGCATTCGAATCATACCTCAATATCAACCAAACTTTTTTGTTTATATTAGGGTTGGGTTGTTTTTATTAAGGTTCTAAAACTGTTTTCTTGTGGCATGTCTTTTACGTTTCGATTTCCGCTCTGGAAATTGTTTTTAAAAAAGTTTTTTAGGAATTTCGTTAAAAAGAGTAAGGTCAGTAGTGGTAATGGGGGACACTTACACCAATTTCAAATATATTAAGTTATTTTGGAAACAATTAGTGTGATTAAATTTTTCATATATTTGATCGTATATGTGATCGAGGAGAGATAATCCTTCAAGAAATTATGACTTTCAACATATATTTGTCTAAAGCAAGTACTCTATAATTTTTTTAAATCTTAAGTCAAATGTCCTCATTTGCCCCCAATATGCGGGGTAAATGAAGACTGCAATTTTTTTACAATTCAACTCACCTATAAAATAAAATGTGTAATCATTGGGCTCATCATTTAATGCATACAAAAAAATAACTTGTAATAATTAAACAGTACCTTGTCAACTAAGTGATTAACTAAACTTAAAACGATCAAATTAATAAAAACAATACTATTTATGAGAAATCTTCAACTCTTTCCAGGCTTGTTCAATGTCCTTAATAGAAGGGTAAAAATGTCATTTTCACTTCTTTATCGGAAACAATTTCCGATACCAGATCAACGTACCATGTTTTCGAAGGGGTTACTGTAAAATAACGATTAAGTAAATCTTGGCAATATCATTGCAGCCTGATAGTTAGGAAATATTACTAATGGATGGCTTATCTGTTCTTCTCGCTGCGCTTTTTCTCGCCTTAATTTAGTCGTGTTGTTCTGCGACGAACTAACATCTCCTTTTAAAAAATGTCCAGACGTATCATCGTCAACATCATAATTCAAGCTTATATCGCTATCGCTCTGTCTCATATTCTCTTGCATTTCTTTTTCCAAATCTTCGTTGGTATCAGATTCGCTTTCCGAACTATTTTTCTTTAGAACCTTTTTCTTTGTTCTAGTTTGTGGAGTTTTATACCTTCTTTGCCTGTTTTTCGTTTTGTAACTTTACTTTTTCTTGTCTAGATCTCTTCTTGACGCAGTCGTTCTAAAACCTCTTCGGAAATTAAAACTCCTCCATATTGAAGTTGCTTAAGCCGTATTTGTCTTTCTTTGACTGGTGTTGAAGTAACCGAACTTTCTACATTCGTCTTTAATTTTTTTAGGAAGAAATCAATTACATTTCGTTTAGCGGCATTATCGTTTGTTAATTCGCTTATGGAAACGTTGGAACCAGAAGTCATTTGACTGGTATTATCATTTTCCAAACTTGTAGTTAATGTGTCCTCGGCAGTCATATGTTTTTTAATGGTAGATTTGTACCTAGCTAACGCAACTTGGTCCTTTGGAAATTTACTTTGGTCCACTGGCAAAGAACCTGTACCAACAAATTCCGGAACGATGATATCCGCAGTTAGATATTTTATCTAGTTCATATTTTATCCTGTGAGTAACATTCTTCCTGTTTTTAGAGGACTAAGAACAGGAAAATCTAGAGGCTGCAGTATGTGCGTTAGGTGGCTAGGAAGTGGAAATAAAATTATTTGGTTTTCTAGGGCAGCTTGTATAAATCTTGCACTTATATGGCTTTTGTGCCCATCAAAGATTAAGAGTGCTTTTTGAGTAGGCTCCGCATTTGGCAGTGATCTTTTAACTTTAATATGAGGGGTATAAACTGACCAGCAGATCAATTAAAGAAGACTGGCTCTTCCATATATCCTTTAGGAGGTGCCGAATATGTGGTCCCCAGAAAATCGAAACCACTTCCAGTCCATCTTGGTAAGACTGCACTTCCTTGAAAAATTATGTGAGGTGGTAAATAAGAACCATCAGCGCTAATGCAACGGTTGATTGATATATTTTCACGACCTTGCCACGAATATGTTGATAAATCACTTTATTTTTTAGCCAATACCCTTAATTTTGGAGGGATCCGTACAAAATCCAGACTCGTCGCAGTTGAAGAAAAGCTCGAACATTTGATCAAATATATTTTCATTTACAATTTGTTTTAATTTATTATAATAGTCTGCTACAACAAAAGGATCATAAGACAGGGCACTTTTATTTTGCAAACTTTGTGGTTTCTTTAATGATAATCGAGAATGTCGATTCATAAAATTCTGATACCCGGGTTTATTTTGCTTGAAAGGAATGGAAATGTTTGAATCTTGACAATAACTTTGAACGAAAGATAATAATTCTTCTTTATCCATGGGATAACAAAAGTCGGCTCTCGCTAAAATTAGCTGCTCTAGTTGACCCTCGACTTCTTTCGAAATGGTATTATGCCGACCAGCGCCGAGAGATTCCAGTTAAGTTTTTCTTTCATTTATATTCGGTTAAATATAACCTTCGTTATATTTAATAATATAATTATAATAATATTGGAGTTCTTGGAACTCCATAATATTCTGCAGCAGAGCGATAAGAAAGGTTGTGGTTTTTGAGGTCGTTTACGACAGCTTTTACATTTTCTGCCGTGTAGGTTTTCTCTGGCCTTTTTTTTAATGTATTTTCTTACCATATTGCAATTTATTTAATCTGTAACGAAAAAATGAGTATCAACTAAAAACCAAGCCTGTGTATAATAGTAATTAGGGGTAATTGTACTATTGTAACCTTCATTTACCTCTTGTACATATTATTTTGGGGTAATTGTGGACACACAAAATAAACATCTCACAAAGGTTTGCAGTTAAATCAAGTATTAAAAAAATGTTCTACTTAATCAATTGAAGAAAACTGTGATGAGAGACATTCAATATTTAAGGGAACAGTACTTACCGTAACAGCTGACCAAACCACCAAATATTTTATAGGTTAAGTTTCAGTGCTGGTAGATACCACCTAAGTATAAAAGGGAGATACAAAGACAAATTCAACATAGCGCTTTTATTAACGATTTTATTTTCGATGTACTCATTTGCCCCTGTCCACATTTTTTACCCTGATTAACCTTATATAACCGTCAAAGCTGTTGGTATTGTTGTTGATTTTTGAATAGACATAACCACACCAACCACTTTGGTGGTTATACACTTGTTTTAACAATTTTTTTTTAATTTGTTTTGAGAATTATTTCCAGATTGGAAATCGAAACTTCAAATTATTTAGTTAAAAATATAATTTTCATTACAATTAATTGTGGCTTAATCCCATATAAACACAATATTTAAATTGTTCCTAGTATTCCGGAGAAGTGTTTTTTTTTTCATTTTAGTTTTTGTGTAAACCTCAATTTTTATTATTACACTATTAGTACTTGACATTTTTTTTATCTGTTGGAGATGGTCCATGTTTCCGATCCATATGTCATCACTGGCAAATATAAGGGTTTTATATATTGTTTTTTATTTTCTGGCTTAGTTTTTACATTTCATATATATATATATATATATATATATATATATATATATATATATATATATATATATATATATATATATATATATATATATAGGGTGAGTGGGGAGGAACGCACCAAACTTTAAGACTGTATAATATACGTAAAAATAACTAATATGTTGTTATTCTATTTTCATTTGTTTTCGAGTTATAGCGATAATAACACAAAGTTGTAATTTTACTGCTACTTATCACATTGCTGTAACAGGTATCTGTGATTCGTTTAATAATTAGTTAACTGTCATAATAGTGTAGTGTCAACGTGATTTAATGTCTATTTGACAGTTTGTATAAAAAAAGTTGTTGCAAAATGCCACATACTTATTCAAATAGTGATTATGCAAATATGGTGTTTTTTTTATGGCTTTTGTAATGGAAACGGTAGAGCTGCTGTTGGAGAATATCGTCAACGGTTTCCAAATCGGAGAACTCCAGATAAAAATGTATTTATTAGGAGTTTTCAACAAACTATGCGAGACCGGAACGCTTCCTAGTTATAAAATAATATCGGAACGTGCTCCCCGACAAAGTTTACAAGAAATACAAAATATTCTGGATTCAGTAGAAGATGATCCAGGGATCAGCTCACGAAGAATCGGTACTCATTTAGCCATTCCTCAAACGAGAGTAATTAACACACTTCACGAGCAAGGTTTATATCCATACCACCTACAACGTGTACAGCACCTACAACCAGAAGATTATGCCAGCCGTATGCAATTTTGTCGATGGATAAAATCGTCGTGTTATATCCCGCATACTTTTTACCGATGAAGCAACATTCACCAGAGACGGTATTAATAATAGCCGCTCACATGTATGGTCAGATGAAAATCCACATGCAACAATTGAAGCTAGTTTTCAGCACAAATTTTCGGTAAACGTGTGGTGTGGTGTGATCGACGGTTATTTAATTGGCCCTTTCATATTTGAGAACCGCCTTACAGGAGAGGAGTACTTGAATTTTTTACAGAATGAATTGCCAGGACTCCTACAGAACATTCCACTAAATATCAGAATGCAAATGTATTATCAGCACGATGGAGCTCCTGCACATTTTGCTCGTCAGGTCAGGCAACATTTAAATACAAAATTTCCAAGGCGTTGGATTGGTCGCAATGGTCCTATTAGTTGGCCTCCGAGGTCTCCAGACCTAACACCATTAGACTATTTTTTATGGGGCTGGTTTAAAAATGAAGTTTACAAGGTAAAAGTCGACACTCGCGATGCACTAATTCGACGCATTAAAAATGTTGCAGCCACAATTAGAGCAAACCATGACG